TTAAAGTGACTTCAGAAAAGCAAATTATTTATTTACAACTATAATTCACATAACCAATTACAATTTACATAAAAATAATTTTTCATCATCTTGATATACAAAGAAAGTATTAGGCCTGAATGGTAAGGTGACTATAGGTACTCAAGTGTAGTTTTGTAAAATAATAAGACAACTGTGAAATCTCTGTTATTTTAACCAATCTTAAAGAGGTAATTATAGAATCAATATCTTAAGTTGTTTCTGGAACTATTAGCTAGCAAAATAGACCTCGATGATAGGCTGAATCAACTTGTTTCCTCTTATATAAACTGAGGTTAAAGCCTATATTTGAAAGCAAGAATATAAAGAAAACCTAAGAAGCTTTTAGGAAATTAAATAAAATTGATTAAAAGTGTTAGCATTTGGTAATTACTCCTACCTGGGACCCGTCTTCTTGTTGTCTGTCTTTTATTATTTTTAAAATTTAGTGATCTTTATCTACTCCTTTCTCACAGCTAAGTGATCAAGAAAAAAAATTAAACTTATATCTAAATATGTCCACTTCAGAGAATTTTTTCAAATACAGCACAATCCATGTTTGCAATGATTTTCCATTGTTAAGTAGATTTATTAGTTAAATTAAACTGCAACCCCAGATAGCAAAAATATAACAATGTTCTAAAGTTTCCAGTGCACCTTATAAACCAAGGCTGCTACAGTTAATGTACGTAAGTTTTTCAAAATTATTTCTGAAGGTTTTGTCTGTTTTTTTGAACCTTTATGCCCATAACTCTTTGGTGAAGGATTTGAAATATCCTGGGTCAGTTTCTCATGGTTTCTCTGTTTGTATTAGTAACGCACGTATGCAATATGGACAGACACCAGCACAAGCACCTACCAAGATTAACCAGCTAAAGGTACTGAGTAGTCAAGCACTTTTATCTAATGCAAGAACTAAGTACCACAGCTTGTCAGTTCTGATTTAACTCAAGCACGACCTGGGAATTTTTTTAAAAACGATGTTCAGGTCCCACTTTTGACCAACTAAATTAGAATATCTGCAAGTAAGGGCCAGACATTTGCATGTTTTAAAGGCTCCTTGGATGATTGTAAAGTATAGCCATGTTGAGAACCAATGAATTAAGTTAGGGACAAGAAATTTAAAAAAAGCTTCTTATAATTTTGATGTTGCACCCTTCTAGTAAAAACAAGTGAAAAACTAGTGAAATACTTTATTATAATTTACTATAATGATACATTGCCTTAAAATGTTTAATTAAAAATGTATTAAATTTGTTTTCTAAAAGCCATACAATTTTACATATATTGATAAACCTCAACGAATACTGGATTTCTTTAAGGGTAGAAACTGTCTCTTTATTGTGACAAATAGTACCTAGCATGTTTAGTTTTCTTAATTAAATAATCATCAGGTACTCCCATGTGGTTCTACAGAGTACCCAGTGACAATTTCAAAGATACAAAAAGAAGAAACCACTTTCTTCAAATTGCTTCTTTATTCAAATCCATACACTTATTCATCTTTCCTTCTATAATTTATAATTTCTTAATTTCTAAACCATATATGGGACTATCAGGTTAAATGATCATGGTCTTTGTGTTCATTATAAATTTACTGTCACTAATAGCACCTTGGAATGTCATTTGTAGCGAATAATCTATGTATTCACGTTATGCATGATTATCAAATAACATATACAAAATACAGATGTTCTAAATTCTTAACTAAGGAAATAAAATAACTTGACATCAGTGGAATTATTTTATTAGACATTGGAAGGAATAATATAAACAAATAAAATAAAATCCTGAAGACTTGAATCTTTCCACTTATTTGCAGAAGATTCATGGTAATCAGTAATAGCCTGTAATTCTTGAACTTTTCATAAGCATAGACTGTCTTATTTCTTGTTATAACTCGACCAGTGCCAGAAGAATAGCAGGCACTTAATAGATGATTGTTAAATTGGACTGAATATTTTAAAAATCCTAACTATAAAACATAATTAATATGGTAGGACTAAACTATGCATTTTCAGACATTTACAAATATATATTAGAAAAATCCAAAATTTCATCATTGAATTTGTCATTGATCACTATTTGCTACATTTTAAAAAAGAGTTCAAAATGTTCTCGATTTATAACCAGTTAATTTTCCAAAGTCAAAGTGGTGTTTAATTTATTTCCCTTTCTGATAAAATTCAAATACTGCAAGAAAATAATAAATAACTATAGGAATCTATGTTAAAAATGCCAAATTTACAAAATTTGAAATATACTTAATTGCAATAGCAAACATAGGCTATCTCTGAATCGCTATTTAAATTATATATGGATTTAGGTTTAAAATAACACTGATAGTCGTCATTTGTCTTTGATTCCTGTATCATTCCTAAGTTTTCATGTCTATAATGTGAAGGTGATTATTGCTTGACTAGTTTCTTAAAATCCTATAATTATGCCACAAAACAAGAATATTTTAACTGAATTTATCTTTCAAAAATTCAATACAATTAAGTAAATTGAGACTGACACAGTCAAACAGGAAAAGGTAGAGAATAAAATTCTGAATGTCATTAATAAGGTCAAGAACTTTTTATATGTTCTAAATTCATAACTTCTGTGCCCATAAGGCTCTGAAGCATATGAGTGAAAAGTGAAAAATACAGATATTTGTCTACTACTTGTTATATACTGTGTAAACACTCAGCTATATAGAACTGTTCTGATGTTGAACTGAGCTTTTCATTTCATTTAAAATGTTCTGGATTTTGTAAAACAGTACCGTGTGTTTTAGCTAACTTGAGAAGGCTGTGTGTCTACTTTGGCATTTCAGATAGTTTTATTTTTACATTCTTTGGTTGCAGAAGGCATTTGTTAGCAGTTCAGATATTTTTCTGATCTCCAAAATCACAACCACAAAATCTTCACTTTAGTTATAAAGTATACCTAGCTGTGGCCCCTGAAATTGAGGAAGGTGAGTTTCTAGTTAGTCAGTAGTGACTTCAAAAAAATATAAAGTTGGCTAAACTTCAAATTCATTGGAATTGAAAAGTTTTCAATTATTCTGATTATACTTACAATAATTTATTAATTTTGAAAGGAACTATGAGCGAACCCCTTAAAAATAAAATGCAATCTACTAATTGTGAAACTTTCTGGGATTTCCAAGTAAGTAGGTTTAAATTAATTTACATCTTCCAAAATCCTGATTACCGTAAAAAATGTATACTTTAAGAATTAAATTTCTCACACTGTAGTCACAGAAAACAGTTGCTTGCCTTGTAGATTCCCACAGAAATATTGTTAGATGGCTAAAAACAGCCTTTTAAAACTAAGAACATTGCAGTGATGTCTTTAATTAGAAAGAAACTATGAGATAAATAACTCTCTCCTGCTAAGGAACCTGTATATAGGTGGGATTTCCCATGATTCACAGAGTGTGATGAACACTTACTCATAGCACCCCTCCCCCCAGACATTCTAATTTAAAGCAGAAGATAGAGTTTTAGAGAAAAAGGAATTGACATATCAGACAATGCTGACCAAAAGTAACATAAATTAGACTTTTAATAAAATTAGCAATCAGTTTTCCTCTTTAAAAGACTCGAGTGACTACTACAGAAAGATTAAATGTAAAATTTCAGATTCGGCCATCTATTTTGAGTTGTAAAGCAGAAATATCTAGAAAATAGAGCTTTAATATAAAAGGGTAGCAAAAACAAGAGTTAATCCATTACTTTCCATATCACTAGTTTGACAATTGAATTTAAGCAAAGCATGATAAAATGAGTCAGAAAGATAGTAAATAAGTAATATTGTCAAGATTTGAATATCGAAAATTTTAACACTTGGACATAATAGACATATTCTGGTAATATGTTTTTCACAGTTGACTTGTAAAATCACGAAATAGTGGTATGTGCTTTCCAACAAATACTTACTGGATTATTTAAAACCAATTTAAAATTACTGTATTTGTAGCAAATGTTATGAATCCCCACTTCTTTGAACAATTATGTTTCTGAGAATTCTGGAATTTCCTAAACCACAATGTGTAGAAGGAGGTGCTCCAGAGTGGCCTCCTTTTTTCAGCTTTGTGGTTGTTTATGAGGTTCTTTCCGAGCCCTATTTCTACAGGAGAGCCAAGTGTTCTTACTAAATGCAGCAGGGTATGGGAGGAGGATCAGGTACTACAGCTGTGAAACCTCTGCTCGGGCATGCGTTTTGGTTTACACACGGCCGGGTTAAGGAAACAAATTTCAACGATTTGTGCATTCATGTCTCGGGTGTAATGCATTTATCTCTGAGTCTAAAACGATCTTTGCACTGAGTAATCCCGTTTCGATGTGAGAGTAAGTCACTGGATTTTACTTAGCTTTGGTTCATGTTGGCATGAAGCAGGCCCCTAATTACCACTGAGATCCATCAAGGGCAAGGAAAGTAATACACAGTAATCACATCGCGTATACGTCGAGTCCCAGGGAGCGCAGGGCTCTCAGGAAGCCGCAGGAAGCGTGCGCTTCCAGGAGGGTGTGCGACGCGCGGGGGTCTGCACGCGCGCCGAGCTTGTTAACGGAGGGCGTGTCGGAGGCGTGGCGCGAGGTGTCCGGGCGAGGCGCTCCGCGAGGCGGGCGGCAGTGGGCGGGCGGCGGGGCAGCGCGGCCCGAGGAAGGCAGCGCGGCGCCGCCAGCGGCTCCCGGCTCCCGCTCTCCCGGCCGCCTAGCCCGAGCCGCCGTGGGCGGGGCCTGCGATGATTGGCGGGCGGGCGGGGAGGTCGGAAGTACTTTGTTTTTTATGCTAATGAGGGAGTGGGGCTTGTCCGTATTTACGTTGAGGCGGGAGCCGCCGCCCTTCATTCACCCACATGGTCCTTCGAGGTGCCGCCGCTGCCGCCTGATCCGCGCCTTCGCGCCACTTCGCGCCCTCGGGCGAGGCCGAGGGGGTGGGGACGACCCCCGCCGCGCCACCGCGGCTCGCGCCCCTCGCAAAGCCCCTCCGCGGGGCGGGCCGGCCGGCCGGCCGCACCCCCGGCCTGGGGCCTCCGGTCGTAGTAAAACGGAGGCGGGTGGGGAGGCGGGCGCGAGAGCCCGCGGCGGGCGAGGCGAAGATGGTGGCGGCTACTCCTCCCGGTGAGTCTGCCCGCCCCTCCGCCGACTGAGGGAAACCTGTTGTGTGCGGCCCGGGTCCGGAGGACGGCCGGGCGGGTGGGGCGGAGCGGCCCGGCGCGGCGTGGC